GTGTGTGTGTGTGTGTGTGTGTGTGTGTGTGTGTGTGTGTGTGTGAGAGAGAGCGAAAGAGAGAGAGTGTGTGTGTGTACCATACGCATGTGCATGGCTGTACGTATAATTTTGGTAGCATCGCAATTCAAACATTCACTTTCTTCTGCGGGGCGCCGAGATAACGCCCGTCGTGTTTGTTTCAATAAGTTGTTGTTGACCGTCGTTGAAAATGACCTTATTTACGCGTATATAACGGACTGTACGAATGAGGTAAACTTTCTTTGGTAGAGATTCTGCACTGTCGTAAATATATTATTTTTATTTTCATTCGATATACAGCTCGTATGATGTCGTAAATGTTCTTTCTTTTTCGTCTGCAGGGCCGTATAGCTTTTTTTTTGGGGGGGGGGAGCAGCTGCCCTATAGATGTTTGATGGAAATAAAATAAATAACTAACAAGTGTAAATAATCCTATGATAAGTCTAAACCGTCGTGTTGTCATTCATGAATCTCCAATCACGGACCCACTCCCGCCCCACTACACACGTTGACTAGGAACCGTATATACGGCTACTCCTCCCTCGTCCCTATACCCAACCGAATGACGAAATCTAGCCCCCACACCCGGGGATTTTCTCTGCGCTTATACACAGCTCCCTATAACGTTAGCGTTTTTAGCAACTTCTTATGCGATACGCATCTATTACACATCGAGCCGTGTGTGTGTGTGAAATGAACTATAGTCATCGCATCACAATCTGTTTATTATTTACTTCAGGTGCGCAAATGGTCATGCCGTGAAATCGCAATTAGATACAATATCGCGAACCTGTTATTCTTATTATTATTAATGAGCCCTTCACGTGCGATGCGGTTGACACAAGTATGGGCCGAAGGGGTAGGGTGGGGCAGGATCCCGCCGGTGGGAAGGAGGTATGAGGAAGTGTTGTAATTAAGTCTCTCCGGCGGGGGTTCAGCCGTGCACATTGGTGCTTCGGACGTATACGCCAAGTTCTGACCTCTTGTGAGCCGTAAACTTTGCGAGCCCGAAAATCGAATGGTTGCAAATGTTCGTAATCATGACTGCTTGGGATTTCTTATTCTTTCGTTCTCGTTTTCTCATTCGTTTTCTAATACGGACGCTTGGCCGTTGGGAGGGGAGGGTATGTCCCTGATGCCACTCCTTCGCATCCGCCAGGTCGTGGAACGCCTACTGGAATATGTCTTTAGGCGTCCTACCTATCAGTGCTACCGCATAGTCGCGTCTTTTACGCATTAATGCATGCTGTAATGTCCGCACCTCTCACATCAATCGTTTACCTTTACCTCAATATTTCCTTCGACTAACCATACAGCTTACCCCCACCCCCGCCGCCGAACGTATATATAGACCCGCCGCGTGTGTTAGACGTGGGAGATATTACGAGGATCGTGTTTAACGTGTAGCTCACGCTAGACTCCATATATAATGCTACGGAAATGATACAGTTGCATGCATATATATATATATATATGTGTGTGTGTGTGTGCGTGCGTGCGTGCGTGTGTGCGTGCGTGCGTGCGTGCGTGCGTGCGTGTGTGTGTGTGTGTGTGATGCGCGCCGCAGTCGTGTGGTGGTGTGGTGCGGCGTCATTAGTTGTGATGGGTGCGTAGTAAATTTTGCTAGTCATAAATTGTCGATAATAGCCTTATAGTTATACGACAACAGATCACGAGACATTCACGCATTTGTAAATTCTATCACATCCAATTAAAGACTTTTGCAAGTACGATAAGTTACGTGCCCGCAATATATATATATATATATATCAATATAATATATATAAATATAATATATATATAATCCATATATATAATATAATTATATATATAATATATATATATATATATATATATATATACAAGAGCTAATAATACCTATTATTATAGTACCTATATTACCTATATTAGGTTACCTATATACATATTATTTAGGTATTATTAGCTCTTGATATATATATATATATATATATCAGTACCTTTTAAGTAAGCCGCAATTACATGGCGAGCGAGAATTGGTGATATCATGGTGATATGCATGGCTAGTCGTTATGTTATGTTAGGGTGCGCAGACAGTTTAAATGTTCATCCGTCCTTACGGCTTAGGTGACTTTGATGTGAATATATCAGGATATATTATCATGATTAATATATATATATATATATAGTCTATATTATACACTCCTGATATTATATTAGTTTTTTAAACTAGCTAGCACTAGATCTAATCTGTGGCTAACAGTAATATGGAACGAGAGAAATGTTCTGTCCGCCATCGGCGATGATTTCAGAGACCGAAAAAAAAACATCGTCGTTTATTTCCCAGCACAAGAATTCAATGCCACAAGAAACACGGTAAACGGTATAGGATCGACTGCAAAACCAGTGGCGTAGCTAAGATCTTTTTCAGCGGGGGGGGGGCAACTAGGGGGCCTTACATTTTCGTGGGGAAAGCACAATAT